TGGATAGACAGCTCTTTCAGAGCCAGTCCTAACTACTAACTACTAGTAGCATCTAACGCACTTACAGAACGTCGAATCATATCATTGATTCTTCATTGGACTGGCTCTGATAGAGCTGTCTATCCAATGGTCACCCGGCGTTGCAAACAAGGTTATTGTGAAGAAAATACACTTCCTGGGTACAAATATATGAATGAACTGACAAAAGATTACCGGATACGGATGCCTGACGAGCAGCAAGAACCGCGAAACCGGTCGTGTGCTTCCAGGGAAATTTTGTCTAGTCATTCACATACTACTTATTATCAAATATGTATATATAGCCTCCTCTGTACCGATTGTCCAACGCTAACAGAGGTAATAGAAATCATTGCGAAACACGCAGACTGTACGTTTCTACTGAGGTTGAGCTGAGTGCGTTGAATACGCCAAAGGCGAAACAGGTTGCGGAAAGATATTCTGTTTTGTTATTTCTAATGTGCTGATGATGACGAGGAGTTTACGTGTCGCTACAAGCTTTTTTTATTTGATTGGCTGTTGGTTGTTTTAAGCAGTTCTTCCAATTTATTTTGTAGATAACACTGCTCTTGCCCTTTGCTTTCGACAGAAGTCTCCCTAGACAGGCGGTCGGTTTGTGGGCGACTTGGATTCCATATGGTCTGAGCAGCTTTGCTGTCATTTCCGAAACGTCCTTGATGTATGTCATGGTCGTTCTTGTACCCGATTCTCCGCCTATTGTTTCTTTCTTTCTTTGGGTTAGAGTTCTTTTGATGAAGTTGCGGGTGTATCCTTTGTGAGCAAATACTCTGAGGAGATATCTTTCTTCTTTCATCCTCAGTCTGTCGGTGCTGCAGTTCAAACCAGGTATGTGCACCTAAACCTATTCTCGGATACTATGGCTAGAGGAGCAACGGCACGGACTGGTTAGACATTCTGGATAAAATACTTCTTATCCGTGTTATGTAATTCGTTTGATTTCTTCCAGAAGGGTTCCTTAGTGAAAAGTGGCTAATTGGAAGAAATTGATGGATCATCAGCGTTGTAATCTGTATCACTTTTGGATGTAACGTCCGGGATACAATACAGGCTTTGAGCAACCAAGCTCAAAGTGAAACGCAGCAAATTTGTTCTAAGTGGGTCGGTTACTAGTTAAATGGATCAATCATCTCTTTTGGAGAACAAAGGTGGCTAAATAGGACCCATCAAGGGATAATGGACAACTTTGGAGGTGGGCCCCGTTTTGCGAATTCCGGGTACTCTCATTTTCACAAAAAATACCGCTAAAAATAAAGTATTTTTGCAACAGAAGTTTTTTTAAACTTTTGGGTAAGTGCTCGACTCAGTTTGTCATTTATTCATGTCAAATATGCTACAACTGCAACCTGATGTCTAAAAGGGTAACAGTCTTTAAAATGTAGTATATTTTCGGTTACCTGAAGGGAGTGACCTTGGATAAACTTAAGAGTATTATCACACATGAGAACAACCTAACATCTAGTAGAGTTTCATAGTAAATTGTAACGTAATGTACTCTCTTACATACTTCCAATGATACGTTTAACCTTTTACTTCTACGCTTGAATCCCACATTCTACTGCCCTGCATCAACCGAGATAGGGAATGTTATGATGCGGACAGAGTGATATTCAACTTAAATATACGAGGATTTGAACGGCATCATTGCTGATTCCACCTCGCAATCCTACACACACCCACCCGAACATACGATACACATACACCTTAACACGTGTAGAAGTGAACTGCCCATTTACACACCATTGAAAACCATGTAAATATTCATTAGTGCCTTTCGTTTCACGTCGCATACATTAGGCTGCCAAGATCTGAAACTTCAACGGCAATTATAATACATCTCATTTTCCTTTTTTTACTAGGGGTCTTTTTCATCTTATTTCGTTCAATCCACTTTCTTTTATTTCTGTCTGGCTTGGTAATTACGTGGGTGGCATGGCCCTCGGTCGTGTTCTATCGACTCTGGTTTGGGAATAGATGAGAAACGTGGTGTCACTAAGCCGTGTGATAAAAGCGGTTGCAGTGCATTTAGAATATTCATCCTGCTAGAAAGGGCAACTAATCTCGGTTTCGAAATATGCAAAACTACTCTCGCAAATCCGTCTTTCTAGGGGGTAGGTGGGCGGGGTAGTCGAGATGTACCATAATCGGTGCTGTTCCGATCGGTCGATAATTCAGCTTCCTGTATTGGACAATCTATTCCCTATACAAAAGTCTTTGGATTCATTGATTTTATGAAGTAGCAACAAGCACCATTATGGTATCATGACTGTAAAACCTCTTAGTTATGGCCACAGTGTTGACGGTACTGCTCCTGTGACATGTTTTGACGTATATGCTTGAAGGCAGCTATTCAGTGCCGCTGACGTTACTGGGCTAATATCTAAAACGGATGAAAGTAGACATATAATGTACAGAAGCGCAAGCGTGCTAATGAATCAGCTACGTGGTGGTCTGTTGATCACAGTTTTCAGTGCTTCTTAGACACAAAACAGCCGAAGCAATCTGTGCCAGTTTGTGAGGCCATCTCTCCACACTCATTGCAGCACTGAAGTCTGAACTTATGGCTCAATGGGAAGATTACAATTTTAACTTCATTGTCTATGCTTAGCGATTATCAAGCTGTTTGAACGATTTATCATACTGGTGAAGTCACCTAGTGCCGGTACAGGTGACCAGTGTTTCATATCTTGTAATCGCACTTATTCATGCGAGAACCTTCATCATGCAATAGAAGTAGCACATCCATTATGACAGCATACATGGATCATTTCGTCAATTCCCTGTGAGCTCATATCATTAATGACTAGAAAAACCTTTAAACGGAACTTGATTCGATTTGTCTCTCGAAAGGAAAGTGAAACGCATCACTTTGAACAGTCGCAAAATGATTGCATTGTTATATGAACACCTAGCTTAGAAACGTTTTCACCGACTGAAAGGTAACTAAAATGTAACTGAAGAAAGGAGTTGACAACCTCGAATTATTCATTTTACTACCACCTAAAATATCCTCTTGAAAAGGCATTGTATTTCATCGACATTTGTGGATATTTATGTCATCACACCCAACCGTTGATGGAGCTTTTGGTATTTTGGTTCGCTGTTCGATTTCAGTGTAAAAACCGAAATCAAACGGTCTTTCCACTTATTTATGTGTATACATTTGTGTTACGCTAATCTCAGTGCCAACGATTTGCTCTCGTCAAGGTTATCGTGAAATTTGTGTCTGCTCTCCTTGGTGCTATATCTGCCAACTATCACTCACGTTTAGTCGTGTCGGAGATACACCACAAAATGCCAGGAAGTCACCGACCTTTTACACTTGTATAGTCACCGATACTTTGTTGCGAATTCGCATGACATCATTCCAGTACGGACTTGTTTCGAACTGCAAATCAACTCTTTGTCTGTTGTTTTTGAAACATCTGCCTCTTTTAATCTGCTGTACTAAACGGGATGATGACGTCTGACCAGAATGAGCTGCGTGAAATATGAGATGAATCCAGTGCTGATGTACATTTTGACTGTTTTTTTTGGAAAACCGATGCGATATTCATTCAAAAATCTCGTGGACTGTTGTTTCCTTGTCTGGTGTATTTGGTGATAAATAGATTTCATGGTCGTATACCGGAATCGTGTTGAGTTTGAACATTCGGTTTTACTCTCATCATGGAAAACCCCAGTTTCGATACTTACTATTCTACTTGCTCTGATTGCCAAATAAATTCCGCACTCCATGCGAAATCCGGGCCTGGTCCAAATCTCCGCAGATTTAATCAAGAAGATTGAGCATATTTTCAGCGGATTCTGCTCAATTCAACAATTATGTCAGTTGTTTTTGTTTTCATTATTAGCTAAGTGACCTCTACGTCACGCATCTGTTTCTGAGTAACAAGTCAATATATGCTCTAGAAAGCCCCGTAAAATATAGCATCACCTGAAGCCATGTTTTCAACACAATTTCCGGTATAACCTTTAAACGAATCCTGGTCGAGATTGGCAGCTTTTTAAGGTTTCCTTGACACGTATATTCCATTTAACTATTTTAAATGAACCAAATGGGTATGAGAAATGCGTCTAAATAGAACGAATAGCAGCGTGTTTGTTGTCGTGGAAATCTGGAGGGTAAATTTCCAACACAACTATATCAGCCTTCGAATGCACATCTGCTGAATGCACTGGCTTCAAATTTGACCAGAATAGAAGGTAAAAAATACATCATTGAAAACCTGGACAAGGCTGCTCAAATTGAATAATCAAAGAGGACTTCTGGGCCGATGTGACATGCTTACAATCTTTATTTTTGGAGACAAAATGGTGGATAATTGCCATGGCCTAATTTATTACCCAGCATTTCAATTTCAATTTTGAGATTTTTTTGACATCAAAATACAGGTATGCCTGTACCACGCTAGGTATTCATGAATCAATGTTCCAATTCAATGAACGAGTTGTGTACTGGCAAAAATTATATGCCTATTGCCTGACGAATGTTGCTCACTATTGAATATGACCTTAATAATAGATAACAGTTGACATGCTGGTTATAATTGAAGAATTGATGGTGCATCAATTTTACAATATTCCTTCCTCCAAAACAGTGCATTAATTTTCACTTAAGATAAAAACTTTTTGTTGATAAGTTACTCATATCAATTGCATATGCAAACACTAGTAATTGTCCAACTCTTCGGTTGAATGGTAAGCTTGTTTGTGATTGGTCTATTAGACGAAATAAACTGATTGGTTCACCGGAATGGGTCACCATGCGGTGAAGTCACCAAGTGATACTCGTTTGGTCAAATTTCATTTGTTCACGTTTTGAACAATTTCACATCGGTGTTATTTCCGATTTCCGAGGTTTTCACATGATGTGTGTTGAGTGAACCACAACTGTGTGTGCTGGATCCAGAAATACACTTATCCAGAGTTGATCGTTCCCAAAAGGCATACAAAAGCACACCATGTCCATTGATGATAATTTGACTGATGCGGAAGTGGAACACCTCGTTCAGATTCAACGAACAGTGCTTCTTGTTTGTAGTAAAGGTTTATTCCCACCGATTTGTATTATCGGTATTGTGGCCAATTTGTTAAATATTGTCGTCCTCACCCGGGCTTGGATGAGTTCGTCCACCAATATATATTTGACCGCGGTGGCAGTGCTCGATTTGCTCTATCTGGTTCTCTCCTTGCTATTCTCGCTCTGGTTTCATCCGGAATTGCAAATCTACGAAGCGTTCGCCCGAGCGATTTTGCTCATTCGATCCACCGCCAATCTGTGCAGTAACACAACCACTTGGCTCACATTGTGCTTCACCATGGAACGCTTTGTAGCCGTCTCTTATCCGATTCTCGGACGCCGAATATGTACTCAAAGACGAGCACGATGTGCCGTCGTGTGTATTGTGATGTTCAGTTTCGTCATTACCCTGCCGGACTATTTGACTCACAGTGTGATTCGACCGGAGACTAACACATCTCAAGTGTACCGGATTCAATCAAACCAAATTGGTGACACTTTGGATCGAATTGGTTACCCGTATATCAATCAGACCGTGTTTGTATTCATTCCAATGATCTTATTGATTCTGTTCAACACATTGTTAATCCGTTCTGTGCTACATGCCAGTAAAGGTAGGAAATCACTGGCTCAACAACCGTCCTCATTGAGTGGCAAGGCTGGGTCGAAGATGGCCAAAGTGCAAAAGGAACATTGCGCACCGTACACCGATGGGGACATACAACTGGATGATCGACCAGAACCAAATCCAGTGCTTGTGAAAAGTGCGCTCGAAGCCAGTATGAAAACAACTCTGGAATTAGCCTCGGGAATCTCTCAATCATTCGGACAATCGGCAGGAGCTGGAACCGGCGGTCGAGTGGGACTCAATGCATCCACTAGGACACGAAAATCCATGCTCGGTGAACAACATCGAATCACACTCATGTTGATCACCATAGTAATTGCTTTTATCCTATTGCAACTGCCCAGTACCATTCCATTTATTGGGATTCGGCTCATCAAAAATGCTTCCGGGGCAAGTAGACGAAGATGGGAAATGTATTTTCGAATCTATATTCCAATATCCAATTTGTTGCTTATACTAAGCGGAGCGATGAACTTTGTATTCTACTCATTATTCTCCGCCAAATTCCGTCGCACCTGTTGCATGCTGCTCCAGCGATGCAGTTGCTTCCCGGAAAGTGCTCGTCGATCACGTCTTGGTCTGGGAGGCCAAACCAGCGGTCGAAGTGGCACGGCTATGGCAGTTGGGTCAACCGAATACACAAAGAGTAGGCATTCCAAAGATGCCGGTGAACATTGGCAACCAAACACAATTCACGCCAATGCGAAACGAATCACCAAACCTGCATTGCCTAGCCTGAAGGAATCCACAGACGAGCCCCGTACCACCGACTGATACATAATCTCTACACATATAAATAGATTGCCCCAGGCATATTGTAACACCTGAAATTAGTCTTGTTGACTGACGCATGTGTGTGTAGTATTCCAGTGAATGCAATGGCCATCTCGAGTGAATTGGATAAAATGAGAAATCAATTTATGCTCCCCAAGTTCCACCCTTTCTTTCTACTCACAGCTTCATTGAGATGGTGTGATCTATTGTCCTACAAGTGACCAAACGATGGGCCCACAATCTGTGAGTGACCTGCATTGTTTATCGTTGGAACCTGCATACCCGAACCTTGGTAACACGTGAGATTCAAACCAGAGAACCATTGTTGTGAACTGCCCACATTATTCCCGCAATGTCTTGTGCATTACTCTATTGCAAATCCAAACCGGAAAAGATCCTTCACACGTGCGTGAATAAGACCGGCAAGAATTGAAATTCATTTTAGGCAAGTCATGAGTGATCGCTGCATGTGTGCTCTTTTTTTCTGTCCGAAAACTCATTTCTTTCTGTAAAAAAGATAATCCAACACGATACAATTGATAGCCGAATGCCGCAGTGTTTTGATCAGTGTGCCGTCTTTGTCTCACCGATATTTTATTGCAGAACCAGGCTTATGATATGTAAGGAGAATAGGGGTATTGGTGCTTTTGGTTGTGGCTGTATTTTATTAAAGATTAAAGATTGTGTTATGCAGGCTAAATTAAACTAAACTTGCAACAATAATTCGAGTCTACCCCGATTGGAGCTAGTTGTTATATGATACACGCCTTCGATTCCAGGGTCATGGGATGTCAGCCATGAAAAAGATAATGAGCATCCATCCTGAATAAAGCTTTGTGCAAACGAATCTGGAACTTGATGCATTTACTAGTAGAACTAAAGATTGTGGTTGTATGTAAAACATGATGAATGAACTATGAAAACCAGTTTTAAGCACTTCGCTGTGAAATAAAAAAGCGAAGTTCGTCCGTGTTGCGCAATCTGTTGAAACAGCTGATTCAAATTTCCATGGTTATTTATGGATGCAGTTAACGGTGCTTTGCGTTTCATACTGATGCACGCCACTTCCTTTTCTTGAGAAGATTTGTTGTTGATAATTGATTCCGTTTTTGTGTGACGAAAGGAGAAAGTTGATCATGAGAAACAACAATTATTTGTGATTTTTTATTACAAATACGGAGCAAGAAGATATACTTAATGATAAATACCGACGAAAAACCTATGCATCGGCAGATTTGAACTAACCGATAAGTGAAAACATGCTATTGAAATGTGGAAACAAACAAAAGATAACATTTTGGAAATATAAGTAACATTAAAATAAAAGAGCTCCTGTTTTCTTCAGTTTGGTGTGAGCTGATTGATAGAAGAAGACTGGGTTTTCTGAATGAGAATATTATTTCCCGGAGTTCTAGAAATTCGCTGAGATGATCTTGATTTGGGCCAACGAACAATTATTATTGTGACTGAAAAACGTTTTGCGTATGTACCGACTGAATGAAGTATCAATTTAGGCCAGTATAGATCAGCAATTTCCTTTTTAGTCAAATGTAAGAAGAGATCAATGCCTATCCACACATCTCAGTGCATAATTATTAAAACTGAGGGCAATCGCGTTGTTGAATCTCTTGTTCCATGGAATGCGTCGAATCCTGAGTGGCGACAACACGGTAAAATACCAGGCCACAAATCACCAAGCGCGCAAGCACGCACGCGCAGTCATGATAGGTGATTATTTTCTGGATTCCAAAGCACGCAGAATACGCAACAATTAATTATGCTGTTCCCGGATTGGTCTTGAATAGAAACAGTGTTTTTGTTTCGACTCTTATTTGTTTGCCGAAGGCAATGCTTTTTTGGGTTCCATCTGTGTTTATAGGCCTGGAGATAAACGAGGCGAATCAAACGGATTGATTGTGAAATCCTCGACACCTGGTTTTCGCCCATGCGAGGATGCGTTGAGACGATGAACGAGAACAAAGTGGGTTGATTTCGTTGGAATAATCGCACGAGATGCTGCTCTAAGTTCCTCAGTTGATAATATGGGTTAAAATTGTTTCCATTTTATAGAATTCACGTACCATCGGCCTCTGGAAAGTCATCTTAAGTACCAAATTATTTGAAATAAAGAAACTCATGCTCAATAGGTGGGTAATTTGTGATCAGTTTCAACATGAAACTGCTGGGAGGTTGTGTCACGGATGAGAGTAAATTTGCGGGTAAAGTTTATGAACGTTCTTTCAACGACATGATGGATGAACTCTATGTCATATCACGATTACTCAAAATAAGCTGCTCAGGACCAGCAAGATTATATCACCTAAGAAGTTGTCCGGATTAGCTAGCCCTTGTGAACGGGCTTGAACCTCAGATAATTTGCTTCTCGCTAGTTTTATGAAACAGTTACATGCTACTTCCAATGGTTTTCGGCGATGCGTGGCGCTTTCAATCTGGTTCGTTAATAAACGTTTATAATCAAAACAAATCCCTCAATATGTTCCATGTATTATATTCCACTTCCTCTGAGTGTTTGCTCTTTTCTGTTATATATTTCAACTGCACAGAAAGTAGTCGTGATTCTTTTGTCGTTAAATTGAATTGCAGGCACTTGTTCGTTTCATCCAAACCGTTTCTCCCTACAAGTTTACTTTCAATTGTGTCCTCGGTGAAAGCACCTTGTCCCATATATCGACAAAGTTTATTAGCTCTCTTTCCCTTCCTTTTGTTTGTTTTAATCAGTGTGCTCATCTGTTGAAAATCTCACACATTAGACTATCTCCTTCTCGTTTAAATATCACGCTCAGTGTTCTATTTCCAATCTCTTTTGGCTTCGAATTGCTGACCTCCTGTGCGTGTGTGTGTATCTGTGATCAAAGAAACACCTAAACCCCGATTCAAAGGTTCGGTCACATTCTCGCTCTGAGTACATCAATCAGAGTTTCATTCACGAATCCGAGTGTTGATCGGTTGTGTACCCGTGGCTGACAAATAACAGGATAAATGTCCAGTCTTCAACCATTTGAGTGATCAATGCTTATATTTCATCGCCGAAAAGAACGATGTGAGATGGATACATAAATGAAGAAGAAAATGGAATCTGTCCAAAAATTGATTGAAAACTGTCAGTGTCAGAAGGTAAACAAGTCAGGCTAAATTAATTGGAATATAAGAAATAAATCATTTCCACATAGTAGTAGACTGTCTTTGGTGAATTTTGATTCACGAATTCCTGTCAAATATTCTTGTTGCTTTGAAATAGATCAGTATTGCTGACACCCGATGAATGTTCTAACACAGATAACCCAGTCGATACATAAACGTGATGCAGTCTGAATCGTGAACCGCATCAGGGGAAATCCGGTGCCACGACTAACGGACCACGATTATAGCACAATCGTTTGGTAGTTCAGCCATTAGAAGTGTTTACACAGGAACATAATGACAAGTTCCCGGGCATGAAATCCATTAAAAAGAATTTGTAGACTAACGAGTGAGGAATTCAAAAAGTAGGTAAATATCATCGGATAGAATAATAAACTTGCAAATACTTTCGTCCTTACCCCGTGTGTTGAACAATAGCCTAAGTCAAATATTGACCATGCTCCCAGCTGCTATTTTTTTCACATCTTTCTCTCTCTCTCGTCCTCCAATGTTTGGGGTCAAAAATGCTACTCTTACAATTAGGTCATTTTGTCACAGTATGACCCTCTGAATCTTTGTTTTACTTTATCTTCGACTTTTTTGCAGTTCTGAGTATTTATCCATAGAAATACAAGGACAACATTTTTCCGATTTATGGACTGGCTTCGACTATTCTTCAGTTAAGCGAAACTGTTCACACCGGTGTGTTGGTGGTTGTAAGCTAATTCAGGCACGGTTTATTCATATCTGCAAAAGCTCTTTGCGGCCAAGAGCTCTCTACTGACGTGATTCGTTAACAAACATGGTACAAAATTCACTATTGAAAAATCTCCGAGAGGGACGAGGTGAACTGCAGTTAATCTAGTAAAAAGACGTTCAAAGAGTACTCCGTATAGTGTGGAAATACGGTCAAATGTTTTTACGCGCACCGTTTTGCGTTTGAATATCAATCTTTCATAGTTTAATAACAGGTAAGCTAGGTGTATAGAAAATGAGTCACTTTACCCGATTTTATCTAATAAACCGTTCTGTGTTATTGAATATTCATAATATTGGTTGGATATATGCCGGAGAATTAGCCGACAACTGTCACGTCTATTTAAACGTCGAGAAATTAGTTTATAACTGCATGAACAATATGTAAACAATATGCGTTTGATAGGTAATTCCAATGTGAAAAGATCAGTGCTATCTGTGTGGCCTTGTAGCTCAGCTGATACAGCGTGCGCGTACAAATCGTAGGGGCGACGTCCATGCGTGGGTTCAAATCCTACTGAGGCTGCTGAACTTTTCACATTCGCCATGCAAACTACAAATCTCCCAAACATCCATTTGCATAATATGTGATATAACTTGTTATGAATGCTGTGTTATATTACTTCATGCAATTCAAACTGTAAAATTGTTCGATTAAATGATCACTGAAAGTATTCTATTATTCCCGGAGAGGAAACTAGTTAGTCACATGGATCGGTTGGAGGAACACACATTAGTGACTATTGATTGATTAGTACAGTCCATAATCGTACAACCGAACGTTTGGGGACACTTTTATTTGGACGGTGACAGACGATGAAAATTGATTCAGATGATACTGATGACTATACCTATCTCTAAGTATATAATGCATCTGTTGTAGACACCTATATTTTTTGGTGAATGACGGTGCCGCCCAGCGAGAACCTGTGGGTAATACACACTGTTTTAGTAACAAGGAATGAGAAAAATGTAGAACGATTTTGCCTGGAACCACATCTGTTGTGTCAATTGTACTACTAAGGTATTACCAATGAATAGATGTTAGAAATGGATTTTTGGTAACAACATAAATGTCGTTTGTTCTTGTGAATAAATGAATA